TCCTAATAGCAGGTCTTTGTTTGGGAGGTAAGATCCTAAGAGTTTATGTTGAATAACAAGCTTAGGGAAGAGTTTAATAAGAATGGGTTTGCTAATCTGGTGGATCGAAATTTTTCTCCGTTAGCAGCCCTAAAAGTTTGGTTGCAGTTTTCCCAAAATTGTTTTGCTAATAAATCTAGTTTCAGAATGCTAGCAGATGCACCAGTATCAAAAGAGGCTTGGACTGTCAAGGGTTTGGAATAGTGTTCATGGAGGTTCTGAACAAGGGCAATAGGAGTAGGCTGTGTAGGAAGAGTGTGTATATCTGGGATCTCATTTTGTGGTGACAGTATCTCAGGAACCTCAGTGTTGCCGATTTCATTCAATTCAAAATCATTTTCATAGGAAATGGATATCAAAGTATCCTCATTCTGCGCATCATCGAATGAAAATATAGACTCTAAATCTTCATCAACAGGTTCTTCCAAAACTTGAGACAGAAGATTTATAATCTTTTTCTTCTTTTTCTGGTTTGGGCAGTTTTTGCAAAGTGTCCCTGTTGTCCACAGATATAGCAACGATCTCCTTTCTTTCTGTTTTTCCTGAATCTAGATCTGCGAAGATATTTAAATCTTTTGAATTTCTTCTTTTTCCTTTTTTTGTCAAACTGCTTCTTTTTGCCACCAGGGGGACAAGCACAGAGTTTCTCAGAATCACACTTAATCTTGAGATGGGGTTTATCACAAGATTTTCCAAGAAGGTGCTTATTTTTCTCCATCTGTTTCACAAATTCGACTTGGTTACATAACCTTTCTAAAGCATGGAGGACATACTGGCATATTTCACCAAAACTAACATTTTGAACAGTCAATCCTTGATTTTCCATTGTTTTTTTGCTGCGTCCTTTCCAAGAGTAGGAGGAATAGATTCAAGATAAAATTGTTTGAGATTTACATCATCAATTCCGCCTATTTTGTGATAGCGCTTGTTCACTTCAGAAAATTTTTTTCTAGGTCTTGCCTTTTAAATGAACAACTTTTAAGCTGGAAGAATTCTTCACGAGCTGTAATCTGTTCATGTTTAATCGGACCTGTAAATTCAGCTACCAAGTAATTTAGGAATTCAACAATGGATTGAGAACCTCTTAATTGTGTCTGGCGATAGTCACCAAGACTTAAATACCAATCAAATAGACGTCCTTTGAGTCGTACCAAGACTTTTGCAATTGTACTTGCCAGTGTGTTTGCTGGATTAAGCATTTCTGCATGCATCCATGTTTGTATTTCTCGAAATCTGTCATTCCATTTTGAAGGAGGGATATCATCAATAGTAAATCCTTTGGATGAATCTCCATAAGTTGGAGGTAAGGGAGGGTTTTGAGGTCTAGGTTCTTCATCCATAAATGGATTTGGGTTTGGCTCATGAGGTTGATCTGGTGGGTTCATCATGAACAATGGGTTTGGAGTAAGTGATGATGTAAAGGTTAAGGAATTAGGAGAGTCTGAGGATTCTGACAAAGAATCAGAAGACTCTGTTTCTGTCCTGAGATTTAGCTTAGGCTGTTTAGCTAAGTTTTTCAAGAAGGTACTCATGTCTTGGAAAGGTTCTGGGGAAGTAAGACTCTATGGTTTAGAAGATGCAATGACATTTGAATCAGTATCAGATGGCTGAAACATTTGAGTTTCATTTGTAGGAGGAATAACAGGTGGTATAGCCCATGGTGGTGTAGACATAAGTTGAGTAGCAATAGAAGGTTGAGGAACACCCGGAGGATTACGTTCAGGTATCTGAGAGGTACTCAGAAAAGGAATGTTTGGTTTTTTCCTAAGTTGAGGAAAGAACATTTCTTCTGGGAAACGTCTTTCATCATCAAAAGAACTTAGAGATTGAAAACCAAAAGTTCTTGGAGGTATCAAACCTGAAGGAGGATAAAGTGTTCTTGTAGGGGGAAAAGGATCAGGGTATCGTAAGGTTGGATAACTTGGGATATAAGGGTTTCCTGTCAACAGTTGAAATTGAGAGTAAGGTTGAGAATACTGAGATTTCATCCATAGATCTTTCTCGAGACTTTGCAGTTGTTTTTCCAAGAATGCTTTTTCCTTCTTTTCTGTGTCAGCAAATACGATTGTGTATGAATATCTTTAACCGAATGAAGAATCTGAAGTAACTCCTCATGCATTGTCTGTATCTTTTCTTTTAACTGAACAATTATGCCAACTAACCCTTGTAATTGGGAGGACATAGTATTTTGATTTTCTTCAATCCGAAGCAAAGCTAAGTTTTGAGACTTTACATTCTCAGCTTGCCAATTTAGGCTTGCTTCAGCTGGAGAAATTGCCTTCAATGCGCCAGATGAGTCTCTGGTACTGGGGTTTTTCTGAATTCGATTCTTTCTTGTCTTGCTACTCATCTATCTCAACATCCTCATCTCAGCTACACTCATTCTACGGATATGTTGTTTCTTGATTGTGCAGTATTTTGTTCAATAAAGCGTGACTTGTCTTACAACTGCCCTATAGAACTTCCCCTTCTATTTTATTGGTATGTGGCGATCACATAAAACTCCATATGCACATTTCTACTTCGCTCACCCAACTCTAGTTCTATGTGCGACATCGTCATCAATCTCTCCGTTCTCTTGGATTACTATCCTAAGGTATCGAAAATAATATTTTAGGTATCTATTGGCTATCAATCTTATTTTCTTTTTTTCTACTCCTATTATTACTAAACTTGCATTCTAGATATCTTGTCTTAGTCTGATTACTTTTAAAACCTTTAGATTCTAAAGCGCCCCCCTAAAGTTTTAACTTGCGCTGACGTCGCTTCTAGTCTCATTAAACAAAACTATATTATTCACGAACAACATGCACCATGGTACCTCATCTTGTAGATACCTAGTTAACTCATTCATAATCAAAACCAAGAGAGATTGGTTCAACACTGACCCCTGATGTAGCCGTATTTTCATTGAAAACTCACTTGTCTTTCCACTAGTTTCCCTCATACTAGTTAGTGTTCCCTGATACATATCTCTCACCATGTCAATATAGCCTCTAGAGATTCCTTTCTTTTCCAACACCTACCAAATTAAATCTTTAGGTACCTTATTATATGCTCTTTCTAAATTAATAAAAATCATGTGGAGGTCTTTTCCCTTCTCTTTAAACTTCTCATTCAGTTGCTTAAATATTAAAATTGGCTTCAATTGTTGATCTCCCTGGCACAAAACCATATTTTCTAATACACTCGTTTTATACCTTGGACTTTGCTCAATCACTTTCTCCCACAGCTTCATAGTGTGACTTATAAGTTTGATTCCTTGATAGTTCGTACAATTCTATATGTCTCATTTATTCTTATAAGGTACAACAATATGTTTCCTCCATTCGTCTGATATTTTTTTGTTTTCAACACCTTCTTGAACAGCTTGGTCAGCCAGCATATGTTAATCTCCCCCATGCACTTCCAAACCTCCATCGGGATACCAGGTGGTCCTAAAGCCTATCATATCGTCACCTTTTCAAAGCTTCTTTCATTTCGGAGATCCTAATCCTATAAATGTATATATAACCTCCGCCCTCGTTCATGTTGAAGGTTCCTTATAACGTTGTGTTCCCATAGTGTTCGTCATTAACATTTGTTAAAAATTAATTCTCCATCTTTCGTTGACCTCGTCATCCTTCACCAAGACCTTATGATCCTCACTCTTAATGCATTTAATATGATCTAGATCCTTGCACTTCCTCTCTCTGTCATTTTTGCTAGTTTGGGGACATCTTTTTCACCTTCTTTTGTCCGCAGTTTATTGTATTGATTATCATGTGACTTAAGTTTAGCCTTACTATTTCCTTAGCATTTTTATATTCTTTTAAGTTTTGATCATTTCTATTACATTGCCAAGTTTTATAACATAATTGTTTTTAACCAATAGCTTTCTGATCCTCACTGCACCACCAAGTTTCCTTATCATAATTTTTTTCCCTCTAGTTTCTCCAAAAAACTTATTTTGCCACTTCTGACATATATTATGTACTTTTTCATCATTTTAAATATATAATATTTTGGACGCATGGTGTTTGTGTCGGGCACTGACATGAGTAATTCCTCCTCACAAGGGTCATGCACTTCATTGGAAGTGTTGACCTCAGCAACCAACCGGTACTTGCCTTGGATGTGTCGGTAATAACATGTTGCCATATAGTAATAAGACTTCTCTGCCAGTCTGCACCCTTGACTTCAATACCATTGTCATTGTTAATGCAATGAAAGCTTCATTTCTGTGAGAGGTCCTTAGCACAATAATAAAGGTTTATTGGTTAGTGGCACTGCTGCTTGTATGACTTTCCGAAAGCCTGTGGTAAGAGCTGGAAATACCTTTTTCTTCTATGAGATCGGGAGACAGGGACTTGGGGTTTCTAGTTTGTATGTTCATGTATACAGTGGTTGGGGGACTTTGGTAGGGTGCATTTAGGTTGGCGAACTGGGTTTACTGTTGGAAATGGGTTTATAGTTGGCTTTTGGTGGGGTTTTAGGTGTGGTTAATTACGGCTTTGAGAGGTAGGGAATTACGTCATACTAGGTTGGGCTTCTGGAGGGATATGATTGACTTTTAAAGAGAAATTGCATCTTGTTCCAAGGTAGAGTGGATGGATATACGAGGTACTTTGTCAGAGGCGGTTCATTGGCTTTTGAGGGGTTCCTCTAGGAATCCGTTTCTTTTGTTTCCCTTTTTGGGTGTTTATGGAGCATATGGGGAAAAAGTAGGAGAATATAAAATGTCATTGGATTGGGTGAACTTCCTATTTCCTCCATTAGACCCCATGAAATAGGATTTTGGTAATCTTATAGCTTGACTTTGGTCCATCAAAATCTAATCTTGTTTGACACTATGCTTTCTGGTCGGAATCTCCCCCAAAGCATTTATTCTCATTCAATGAATCAACCATTGAAATAATCAAAACATAAAAGTTCTTAAGGCATGGCAAAAGTGCATCTATCTTATCTTGTTCTTATCACAGGCCCAGGAGCTGACTGTGTCACTATTCCTGAAAAGGCTCGGTTTGAGTAAATATGCCATTACATTTCAGGCAGAAGAGGTTCGTTATCTTTTCAATCGATGTCTTTCCGTTTGCTTCATTTAGTGAAAACTTTCTATTTTTTATTTCTTTCTTTTTGATATTGCATTTCTCATTAGGTTTTTTCTAGGGTCTCGTTCTCTAAGGCTCTATCCAAGTAACTGGAGGAAACTCCTTCACATTCTAATCTGGAGTAATTAAATTTGTATTTGTGCAGGTTGACATGATCGCTTTGAAGCATATGAATGAAGCTGATTTCAAGGAGATGGGACTGCCCATGGTACTTTCTGTGATCACATTTTCCTTGATGGGTTTCTTTTTATGTGTAATGCATTGCTTTTTGCCCCAGAATTATGCCTTTTCCTTTGTTGGGGTTGGTTGGCATTAGGTCTCTCTCTCTCTCTCTATGGAACACACATACACACACACCAGGAACGGTAGTATTTAACTTTCAATGTTGTTTATTAAGAGGCATTGTGTTCTCTAGGGGCCAAGAAAGAAGATTCTTCTTGCTCTTTCTTCTTTAAAGGAGCCTGATGTGAAAAAATGATGATCTTCTTCCATATGTAACATTGGCAAATGCGGCCCGCTATCAAATTCACAACTTTTATTCCATTGCAGCATTGAAGTCGAGAAGGATGCATCTGTTTGTATTTAGCGCTCGTCAATGAGTATTATATTGGGCCATTTTGTTTAGAGCTCGCTGCATTTTGGCATCTGTAAGTCGTATACCTGTTAATAGCCCATGGACAATTCTCTAGAATCCAAATCGATTGATTGGGAGCACTTGTTTTCTATAATGTGTTGTTTTCATGATCAGAAGTGTAAATGAGGAAAAGTATGTTTGATGCTCCATAAAAGAAAAGAAACATGAAAAACTTTGAAAAGAATTTTTGACTATTTTGGCCAGTCTCTCTCTCTTTGAGAGGTTAGCTCCGGAGGACAAACAAGCCACGAAGGACGCTTGGCAATAGAATAAGGCCGCATGTGGACACCTTAATATTCATGTAAAAGAATCTTTTAATCCTGCTGCATTTTATGCCTATCTTGGAAAACAATTACTTTACTGAGTATATTACTTTATATAAGGTGTCAGCTATAAAAATTTACTGAGTATATTACTTTATATAAGGTGTCATCTATAAAAATTTACTGAGTATATTACTTTATATAAGGTGTCAGCTATAAAAATTCCTCCAATTGATATCTCAATGTCGAAATGCATAGATATGAAATTTCAAGTCTTTGAAGTAGTAAAATTTGCAACCCATTATCTGAGTCATCTGTTTTCATGATTTTCAAACATTCATAGATTTGTTCGATCTGTACAATTTTTAGAGCTCTAAATTTCAAAATTAAAGGTGAAAATAAATTTTTAAGCTATAATAAAAATTTTCAGCATTAAAATTATATACTCTTAAGAAATGCGCCATACTTTAATTGATACCTTAGCCAAACCTTGGCCGCTACTTTAAGCTGTTATAGTCCTATCGGAGTTCCATGATGTTTTTGGGAAAATTTATTGCCCAAGTAGATTCTTTGTCTAAATATGGTGAAGTTCTTTATGAAATAAATCTGTCATAAGGAAAGAAAAAAAAAAAAAAAAGGAAAGAGGAAGAATGAAAAAGCAAATATCTCCAAAAACTTGTCCGTCTCGAATATTGAGGACTCATAAGATGATGCAAAGCCTCTTATGTGATGGCAATGTTTTAAAAATGAGATTGTATGCTATGAGACCATTTATCTTTATTATATGGAGGTTACCATCATTCTTATTTGTTAAATGTTAAATTGGATAGTATGGATTAGTCATAAAGTTTGAAGTTTTTTAATATTTTTTTTTAATAATTTTTTATCTTTGAGTCTTTTTAATGATACACTTATAACCACTTAATTTGAAACTTAAGGTACAAGAATGACTGTGACTTTCTTGTAAAAGAAGTTAATGATCTACTTATGTACTTTTTTAAAAAAAGAATGATTTTCTTAGTTTGAATTGGTATCGGTGGGGAACGAGTTTGAGTCCAAGATTGAATATTTAAAAAATTCCATTGTTAAGTTTCTTGTTTTTAAGAGTGTTGTCTTCAGCCTACAGGTGTATTACATGTGGCGAGTTATTTACAACTGTAGGCCAATCATTTCATGTTATTTTAAATGGAATGTTGGAAGTGGTCGACATGTCTTGTTTTGATATTACAAATGGTTTGGGGATTTCTCTTAAACCTGTTTTCCCTGATTTGTTTTGTATGGTTTCTAACTTAAATATTTTGATTTGTGAAGCAGTGGAAAGGAGAGGCCATCAATATTCATGGAATATATCTTTCAGATATAGGCGTTTAAATCATGTGCTTTTATCCCAGTGGTGTTCGCTGATGGAACTTTTGGACAAAGTGTATATTTCACAAGATGAAGATGATATGTTAGTATAAGAGATTGAAGTGATGGAAATTTCTCAGTAAAATCTTGCTACAATTTGTTTTTTCATGATCGATGGAGATGGTCCTGCCCTAATATTGTCCAGATTTGGAAATGGCCAATACCCCATAAGGTTCAAGTATTTGTTTGGCTGGCTGCATAGGATAAAATTTTAACAATTGATAATCTTCAGAAAAGGGGTACGATTTTGCCAAACATTTGTTTACTTTGTTAACAAGACAGGGAATTAGTAGCTCATCTTTTGATCCATTGCTCATTTACTTCAAGAATTTAGCATTGGTTGATGGACTTAGTAGGAGTCTCCCTAGTGTTGCCTCTTAGTTTGCTTGATTTTATTACACAATTCACACTCCCCTTTTTTCCTAAAGCTAGTGGTACGATATGAAAAATTGCAAAAGGGGTCATTTTGTGGGAAGTTTGGAAGGAGAGAAATAAGAGAACTTTTGAGGATTCTGCTTTGCTGTTTGACAGGTTACTTCATTTAATCAAACTTTCTATATGGTGAAGTCTCTCTGTGGCAAAGGAGGGTTGGGGGATTTCAAAAGTTGATATTATGATCAATATTTCTAATCTACTTTCTCTTGATGTGAGTAGATGCCGGCCTAAGGGATTGTGGTTTGCTCTGCCTATGGGGTGTCATAAGCTAAATTTTGATGGGAGCTCCTTAGGGAACCCGAGTCCAGCTGGGATTGGTGGTGCTTTTCACGTTGGAAATATTTGTTTTATCTTATGCATGACCAATTGGTATTGCTATTGCTAATTTTGCAGAATTAAGTGCCTTGCTAAAAGGTGTGCATATTTTCATTGAAATGAGGTTGGGGAATATTTGTTTAATTAAAGGTGACTCTCTTAATGTTATCAGGTGATGCAAGAAAGAGCAGAAAATACCATGGGAACTTCGATCTTTATGGTTACAGGTTATGGATGCTTTTGTTTCTATATCTTTATCTATATCTTTTTCCCATGTCTACCGTGAAGCTAATGGCGTTGCTGATACATTAGCTAAGGGTGTCATCTCTCTTGGGTCTTTTACTGTTTTTGACGATGTAATTTCATTTTAAGTCATTAATAAAATTTTTGAATGTTGGTAAAAAAAAAGAGAGTATATTACATGATTTAAAATAATTCTCATCATCGTATGAGCCTTATCCTAACTATTTGGAATTGGCTATACAAATCTTGTTATACCATTTTGCTCTATCAAAGACAATATGCCTTTGCTCTTTTAGAGCACTCCACTTAATGAAATGCCTATCTTTTAGGATTCACATAAAGATGTGCCAAAAGTTTTACACTGGCTAGCCATCTAACATAGCCCTACTCTTTTCTCCGGGCTTGGAATAAGCACGACCGGGTTGGGACCAATTATGGTGGAGTTACATGATTTAAAACAATATTAATATAAATTTTCTATTTACTTGATAATATAATATTCGTCCAAAACCATGGGATTTTCTTAAAAAGAGATATATTTTGTTTTTTGAAAGTGTTTTAGCGTGTGGGATGCAATCTTACACTTGTATCCCTTGACATGTCAAATATCTAAAGATAGGTATGAACTGCGCTTGGTTCGAGGTGGTAATAGTGAGTTTTTATAGCACTACGTCTTAAGTTCTTTTGTCAAAAAAAAAAAAATTTTTTTTTTTTTCCTTAGAGATAGTTATAAAGCAGTGGTTCCTCTAAAAAATAGAGATCAAAGGTCTAAAAAGTTTCTTCAATATTTTATCATTTTTTATATTTAAAACTGATTTTTTTTATGTTATTAATTTCCATATTAGATATCAAAGACATGCCCAAAATCCATCCAAAAAATGGATCATGAAGCAGGGACGCATCTCTACATATGAGTTTATGGACTCGTAAAAAGCATGTTCTGTTTTTATTCTGTAAGATTTTTTTAGGGTTTCTGTTGTAGAGAAATTTTTACTCCAATCTACAACAATTATTGCATGATTTATTTTTATTTTTTTTGGTTTTTCCAATTCTCTCAAATTTTTTTTCAAGGAGGGTTTATACAGACATCTCAGACTTCCTAATCCAATTTGCTAATTTGGCGAAGTTCGATTCGAACCAGTGGGCCATGAGTTCAACCCACCGGTCCTATTTTTGAAACACTTTGTGAAGGTTTCGCTTGAACAGAGCTTCAATGCACAATCTCTAAACTGATTTCGATACTCCGTTGACCCATAACAACCAAGTTTGGAACTGGCCGTTCCGGATCAAGAATCATCAAGGATGAACCAATTCCAACAAAATATCACAAACCAGCCGATTCTCACCATGATGGCTGGTTCTAGCCAGTTCTACGAGAAAACCAGGTTCTATCAGCCCTATTTTTCTATGCTTCTTGAATTTTTGATCACCGGTACACTAGACAGGTTGCCAATCCAGTGAACCGGATTGGAAATCTAATTGCGCGATTTAATTACCAATTTTCTTCTTAAAACCTTGTTACCAAGTATGGGTACCACTACCCTCTCTCTCTCTACCAAGCATGGCTACCAATAGTCTCTTTCAACCAAACATAGGAAACAAGCACGGCTCACGTAGATCAGTGACAATTTTTAAAACAAAATCGCAATGGATATAGCATGTCCGTGGCAAGACAAAATACTATTCAATTTCGCCTATAGACATTTTTAAGAGTTTTTCATATGTACATATACGAGAAACAATCTCCCGGCTTTTCTTGTGCACGTACCTGTGCGAGAAGGATTGTTGGAATAAACACCAAAGTCCGCCCAAACCCAGATATAATTGTTTGTGACTAATTCTTTCTTCATTATTTTCAGCTATGATCTCCAAATTCATCCATATTGAAAGAACTTTTCCTTGTTTGAGACTTTTTACCATTGAAACTTTTCATTTGAAGTACCATTCCATTATCAGATACTACGGTTTCCAGGTCATGTTGAATGGACATGCTGCAACACATAATCCTATATATCGGATTCAACAACCATTCAAGTTTCTTTTGGATGTATTGCAGGCGTTAGGGGCATTACCAAGTCCTCCCAACTTAACAATGGGAAAGATTACCTTTCTGTTAAAAAATATCTTCCAAGACTTAATTGATTTGAGAACACATAGGACTCAAATTTTACTCCTATAGAGGACCTTGTGGGCATTCCACCATGGCACCATATACCGGACAAGGTGTTAAGCTTTTCGCCAGTTCAAACAAAGGTTCAGACACATATGGGGAGCATTCGGATACGCCATGGAGCATTTTCCCCTGTTTGATTCTGAGGAAAATGCTGCATTAAAATCGAGGAAACTTGGACTTGGGTCTGTCCCAAGGAGGATCTTGGAGTGCCAGTTTCTGCAATAAGTGAGAGACCATATAAAAAGGAAAAAATTGATAATGCATTATACTCGAGCCACAGGGGCAACTATACATACATTATTTTTATCTTCTTAGGTCATGTACAAATGCATAAGCACATTTATGCCTTTTCCACCTAAATCACTTGTATATGAGCCCTGTGGAGTCAATACTAAGCATATTGAGCTTTATTTCATACATTTCTCGTATATGCTTACATACATACACTCGAACCACTATATAATCAAGAAAATATATACAATGAGGTTATTTTATTTTTGATATAAGGAAGTCACAATCATAATTGACTTTTGAATAGAACTTGTTCATGTATTTAGAAAAGGGAATTTATGTAATTTCATAATCTTGAGAGAATCAAACTCAAATTCAAATTCAAATTCAAATTCAAATTCAAATCTAGAAGAGTATCTTGACTTTTTGAATCACGTTTGTATTTAGATGCAATTTAAACTACCAATATACATTTCTTAAATTTTCAAACAAGTTATTGTTGCAATTTAATTTTTTATTTTTGTAAGGGTATTTTGTGGTAAAAAAAATTGAAGCAAAAAATTCTAAGTTCACCAAAGTGGTGGAGCTTACACACACGCGCGACACACACACATACACAGATAAATTGAACTAAAGGAAAACTTATTCATTTTCGGAATGTTTTCACCAGGGATTCTCTTCTTATATCAGTGGTCAATGAATGATAGATTTTCCAATTTGGAGTCTTGTGTCCCTCCAATGCATACTTCTTTTTCTATAAAACAAAAAAGGATGACAGACCAACATACTTGTTTAAATAAATTAAATTTAGTTCCAACTTTCCACATGAAACACTTTCTGATGGGCACCATTTTGTGCAATCTTATGGGTGGGACCTTCAAATAGGTCTATCTTCTTCACTAATGAGTTTTTCATATGCCTGGATAAATCGAATGCAACGTCAGTGGGGATTTGGTTTATTCATTAATCGTTTCAAACAAATTTTTGAAATGATTTCTACTCAAATTAGAATCTCCCATTTGGAATCAAGGGTAACTTCTTGCTTAATAATTTCCCAATTTTATCTAAAATCACAAGATTTTATCTACCCATATCTGTCCCCAGGCGTCATGTGAGGGTTTGGCATAATAACATTAACATATTATGGACCTAGAAGCCTCCAACTATATGATTTTCCATTGTCATTAGGAATTCCTAAGTTGAGGTTCTTCTTACAATTATATTTTCTTTTAATAAACTCCATGCTTTTTATCTCCTAAAATAATAACAGGTAGATATACATCTCATTAAAGAGGCATAGATATCGAGCATTTGTTGCCCGTCAACATTTAAATCTAAATTCAAAAGCAAGACCTCAAATTATATTTTTCTTAAATCATGATCCTCTTTAAAAAGGGTATGGCTGTTAGAAACCCAAATTCATTTTCATTTCTCAAACTAATACATCATTAAAAATGCAACATGCCCTAATAAGGAGCATTTTTTATAATTTGACCTTTTTAAGAGCCTCGAGATAGCTCTTCATCTTCTTCTTGAAAGAGTCTACTCTTGAAAAACTCCAAATTGAAGTTCTTCATCTTTCCTGGGATGGATGCAGGACTTCGTATCATTTTTCCAACAGAGATTTCACATGACTGTCGTCTGATCCACATCAACCAAGGTAAAAGAAGAGAAGCCTCCAACCCTTGTCTGTTTCCGGACTTCTTGATCCCGTTCTTGGAGCACCTTTCTTGCTGCCATTCTTTCTCGACAAGATCCCTCCTCTACACATTCTCAAGGCTTTCTCGAACCTTGTTAGAGTAAAATGAAAAAAAGGAAAATGATTTGAGCCCTTGATCATGATCAAACCAAGCTTGTTGGCTTACCATGTGGGAAACAATAGATGGGTGCAACTAGGTGAATGCATATAAGACTTATCATATATATAGATCATATGAATATGGCAATGCCTACATGAAACCCTTGGCACCAGCTAGATTATTTTTTTTTTGAAATAATATCGACTACAAAATGAATATTATCAAGTGGCTTAGTTCCTCTCGAAGCCTTAAAAAAAGTGATATATAAAAATGGGAAGTGGAGAAAATTTCAAGTGATTTGTATTTGTAGAAAAAAAATTGAAATTCAAACACTACCGAACATCTATGATCGTCAGATCGGCCTAGAATCAATCTAAGATGTTGGGCTCATATGTTCATATGAACTAGTGGGCTAATATCATCTTTTCCCATAT